AACTAGAACAGCCCATTTAATTAAAATGTAAATGAAAAGGGCTTTTACGATATAGGAATTCTCAATTACAGACTGGTGTTGTCTTCTGGTATTCCGAGACTCAGTGAAAAATAAAATACTGGATCAAACATATTTAGTGTCTTTTTTTATAAGTCTGAATCCATCCCGACTGCCCATTAGTCCACATGGTCATATCAAATATACGTATTTGTCATCAAAAGATGTCACCAAGAGTTAAACATTTTAAACTGTCAACTACATTTTGAAAATGTACAAATCAACCGACATGAATTTAATTTGTAGTGGATATGATTATCTAGTTGTTGATGCTTCGACTAAAATTTAATCAATCTTAGTTGGCATATATTCATGTTATATGAATTGGCTTGGCGAAAATATTATGTTGCAAATCCACATTGAACAGACGGAATGTAGTTAGCAGTGGAGTCCAGGACACACGTTTCATCCTATTTGGGACTCATCAACTGGATGCAATTGCGTCCGAGTTCGTGTTTATTTCGGGATTTAAACCCAGTACCATTTGCGTCGAGTAAACATCAGCTCTAGGAAGACTGATTTAAAACATCGAAATCTGGGTATGAACAGACAACATAAGTAACGTTGAAAATAAATCAAACTACTGATTGATACTGAAAAGTATAATAGTGTAGACAAAATGAATTCAGTAAATGGCTAAAGGAGTTACAGGTAATAAAACAAATCCACAAGAAATTAATTTATTGCTGAAAACTTTTAAAAGCATGTAAAGATTTATGGTTTGAAATGATAGAAATGGCATCCATTAATGTTTCAACTTTAATTTTGAAAGGATAGCTCAATTTAGTAAACTAATATTTATAATTCAAAAATTTAAATTAAAAACTCAGACTAAATCTTTGTTTTAACAAAAATGCAGTTCAGACTATCCAATGTGATTACAAACAATTTTTTTTATAGATTGGAGCTAAATACAAATGAAGTGAGTTGTTTAGTTTAACGTTCATAATTGATTAGTTTGTGAAACTTAGTGTTCATAATTTGATTGTTATCCATTATTTGAAGGAATTACCATTAATTAAATAACATGAACTGTAGAGTGATTAAAAACCAGATAATATTGGACAACATTTCTGTTCTTGTTCAAAAATTACTCTACTTGCACACGAATCTGTATGTGGTTGATCTTAAAACTTGTCTCTCTCTTCCAGTAAATTATCATTGATCCACTGATTTAGAATTTAATAGTCCATACTTTGAACTTCATATAAAATAAACTGACAAACTGACCAAAACTTCACAAATTATCATGAATTGTTATTACTGTTCACTAACTACATCATAAGTCTGACTATGATATTTGAAAACTTTAAAAATCTTAAAGTAAATAATGTGAGGGCATAAATCTAAAGAAATATGTACGAATGAATAACTTTACTATTTAAACATAGCAGATTGTAAAATATTTAAAACATTCTTTTCTGGTTAATCACTGAATTCAATCAATAGGCAGGAAGTTATAATACACAATTGAAGAATAGAGTTGTAGACACATTTCATCTAGTTAATTGACGCTGGGATTCTAGGAAATGATAACAATTTACGAATATAATTTTCAAGTTAGTAAATCTTTATCCTTTTCTTAAATTCTGGCACAAGCTTTAAGTTCTTAACAGAAGAACAACCATTAAACATGATATTTTTCACTATATCTTTTTATTTACTATCAATAGTGATTCTACATTCGACCATTTATCATGCTAGTCCGATACTCCTATATTTCACACAGAAATTTTAGAATATTCAGTCGATATTATTAACTAAATTACTTCTTATTCGTTATGAAATCAGTGAGTAATCCAGATACAAGTGGTAGTAATGGTAGTAGTTAGAACTGCCAACAGCTGATACAGTTGACTTATATGGTTATGAGTCAGTTAATCATATAAAAAGAAAAACTCTATGAAATTCATGTGTGAAAATTCTACCGTATGGTCGTCGTTCGTATGTTATAAAGACTTATTGTGGTTTAAACGTGAATCCACAAATTTATTTCGTGAACTTTTTAAAGGTTACTAGTATTATATAAGACTAGTAAGTAGATACTGGCAAGATTGCAATAAGAAATCTTATGTATAAGCATGATCGAATCTGTTATAATCTCTATGAATGTAGAGTTGAATGGTTGAAATAATTTATACATGAATTCAGTACAAAAATAATTATCAGTATAAGATTGTCAAAATCTCCTAGCTCCATTGAAATCCAGCGCTTCCAGGTTTTTAGTAGTGGTCTAAAATTGATCGGTTCATGATTTCAATAAAACAAAAATAATCATTGTTCTTATCATCTTAAATATTTCTGGTTTTCATTACCCTATGTTTTAATCTTTGTAAACAATGGAATGGATACCAATGATTTCAAGTTATTTGTGTTTTTGTTCCATTTTCCATGCTTAATTTTAAATTAAATCGACGATGAAATTCGGCTGATTTTATTGTATCGGAGACAGAAACTGATTGAAATGTTGTAGTTTTTGTAACAGAGAAAAAATCACAAATGAGCATATAGCTAAATAATGGTAAGAAGGCTTTCATGATATAAACAAAAGTTTTAAAGAAAAGAGAGTGCTCGCGCGCTAAACCATTAGGTCCTGGGTTCGAATCTTGAAGAGGGCGAGGACGTGGATGCGCACTACCGAGAAGTCCCACAGTAGGATGAAACGGCCGTCCAGCGCTTCCAGGTTCCCCATGGTGGTCTAGCTTTAACTGTAGTGAATGTAATTAACACAAAATTACAGGATTTGTTAATAAAATCTAACAATCATAAAGTAAATGCTTAATTTGCAAAATGTTCACCAATTGTCTCAAAATGACCCAAACTTCATTGTTCTCGCATTTCCACACAAATCGCATCCTGTCCCATTCTTTATTGTTCGATCCTCTTGTCTTTCTGCTGCCAGACCTTCTGTTCACGACTAACATCATATACTACTTACGTCAATATAAGTAGCACACCCCAAACAACTGAATCATGGTTTTAACGATTGAAAAGAGAGATTGTTAATTATTTCTAGTTATTGAGAATAATGGCCTAAGAGAAATTGACAAATCGGAGTGTAAATAAAACAATTTGAGAGTTGGTAGAAAAAAATCAGAACTAATGGTTTATTATTTGTCCTTGATACGATGGACAAGAACTAGGCCTAGTAGTCTGGCCTTAATTGATTAGAAAGTGGACAATCGACAATGATATTTGCCCCAATCACTTATAAAAAATTTTCATGTTCATTACGTATTAATATTTCGAGTATGAGTGTCACTTTATTACACAATAAACCAGTACTTTTATGATATCTATCGTAAAAGCTAGTCGGAAGGGTGGGAAGCGTAGGATATGAGTCATATTCAGCGGACTGAAGGCAGACTTGGAGACGTCGAGTTTGGAAATAGTAAGTCACACATCTTCATTTATTATTTAACGGTAAAGTCGAGGAATCGCATAAAAGCAGCTACTTTTATCTCATGAGTATATATTCTGACAAAATTAGTTCTTAAATATTTCTATTTAACTTTAATGTTGAACAGATTCAAACAAAACTTCAATTCCATTTTAAAATCCATGTATAAATAGACTTAGTTTAGTTATTGAAATACTAAGTTCCAAGAGAGTGAGTATTTATTTTACAATCTTGGGATTTCTGTCGTTACCTGTTTTGCTGTAGACTAAATATACGACTCAGTTAGAACCGTTTTTGAATAACAGTGTTCAGTTTGGCATTAAAAAGTTTATTATCCAAGACTTAAATCCGTCTAGACATCGACAAAATGAGTTTGAAGTCCTTGTTATCATATAATCAGAACTACATTTTATATTAAAAACATGGGGGTAAATTTGTCGAATCTCATTTATTTCGTGAAAATCTTTCATAATTTCATTTAGCCAGGGACTTTTGCATCACTAGTAATTATTTTATAGTTTTAATTGATAGAACTATGACTTTATACAATAAAAGCCAGTTTTGTCGACCACAAATTCTCCCGAGTAAGTAGGATAGCCTATCAGTGTTCATTAGGATCCCAAATCTTTGATGACACAAATCGAGAATGTAAAGACAATAATTCGCTTTTTATTTCACCACCTAAACACAGCCACTTATTCAATGTGTTCATCAAAGGGTAGGGTACTAACCCATTTAGTGTGTTTTATTAGGGGACATTCGGTCTTGTGTGATCAGGTGAAGTTTAAGTAATCTAGCGACAATAACTGTTACCCATAGGCTAAATGCTACTCGTTAAAATCCTCTAGAAGACAAGGTCAGAAGTGTTACTGTTGACTGACTTTGCTAATGAATGTATCCTATATATGATGTATCCAGAATACGGCATAAATTTGAATAAATTAAACGATGGAATTCTGTTTCAGAGAACATAGTAGTCTCAACATTCAACTCTGCAATATGTAGCCATCTTGAAACAATACTAATGGTAATTATTTTCTTAAAGTTTGCATGGATCTTAGTTTCATCATACATGTTTGATCATATCAACAAATAAATGACAGATTAAGAGTGACTACAGAAGCATTTTCAAGCAAACACTAATATCACATGAGAATAATGAGTGAATTCGATACACTGGAACTATAATCAGGATAAAAGTAATATTTTCAAGATGGAAAGGTTTCGTCAAATGAATTGTGATAACAGAATTAAATAGCTAGAAGATTCTAGGACTTAGGTTTTTGACCACATTTAAGTGAGTCACTTTCCGCACATATATATATATATATATATAGCATGCAAAACAAATCAATATAATATATTGTCTTGTAAAACACTGCAGTGAATCTTGCTACATAGAATTTTATGACTGCCAATTTCTGATTTAAATGAGATCAATGAATGTTTCATAGTTCATTTCAAAGATAGAAATTATTAGATAAGTAATGTAGAACAAATGAATCAAGAGAGATTCAGAACAAATATGACAATTCTGAAATATTAGTCTTTTAAAGTATGATAATTGTTCATCTGTGTTCAGATAAATAGTTATAGTAGTATGACAAAATATTAGCAAAATATTTTTGTCATCCTGATCAATATTATAAACGTTAAAAAAACACAGTTCAATATGACCAAATACACTTAAGTGATCTGAAAAATGTTTCATGAGAATCTGTGTATTGAGCACTGAATATTCATCTTGCAGACCTTTATAATCAAATCCCATCCATTTCAAAGTCAGTGACTGAATTATTCCTATTTTCACTGTCCACTAGTTCAACTCCTGGACTATTCAAAGTGGAATTATTATGATGACCTTCAGTAGAATTTAACCACTCTTTAATGTGTTCTGTAGATGATGTTGATGATAATGCCGATGTGATTTTACTCAACTCATTCAAGTTAGTTCTTAGACGAGATTCAGATATTTGAAGAGATCTTTCTAATTCAGCGATAGTCATTTCTTCTGTGTTACCATTATTTACTTGAATCTCCGCTGTTCCATCCTAAAACAAAATGAAAAGATTAATATTCATCGCTCTTTTGGTTGATAATACAAATTACAATGACACACACAACTTATATGTAACAGTTTCGTTAATATGCAACTTATTTCTAGCCGAGGATTGAGGTAGCGCTGTAGTAGTTTGGAAAAGAACGCACATTTTTGAATTATGATTATGATATTCTAACAGATATACTTTGTATAGCTTGTTTAAAAAATTTCGCTATTTTAAAGCAAATAATGTTTGAGAATATCATGCTTTTCATTGACTTTATCTTCAAGGCCTACAATTATACATATATAATTGTAACGCAGCTATGGCCAATACAAGTCATGTATGCATAAGTTGTGATTGAATTATTTACTGTCATAGAATATATTAATCAGTTTTAAATTGATTACGGCTTAAGTACTCAACACCACCTGGTCATTCTTGTCAGTACCAACTTTGTATTGAATATCCACATTTTTACGTGTTGACGGTAAAATACGTATGGAATTGTAAAATAGTAAGTGAATTTGTATCACATAGCCCTATTCTATTTATTATTAATTATTCATATCTTCATTTGCTTATCCTCACATTTCGTTGTGTTATATGTCCTATGACATAACAAATAGGTCAGTGTAACTCTCGTAATTTCATACATTTAGCACTAGAATTTTGTAGTTGTACTAGTTTGCGACTATTCAATTGTTAGCGTGGCGAGACTCTAATTTATTGACGAGCTAATCAAGAGGTTTTAGGGATTTCAAGGTTACGGCGCCAACTTTAGTGCTTAATGCTAACGTACGATCGGTTCACAGGGAATTTTGTACAAAACGTGATAATTGAACGGCTATAACAAATAAAACGACAGGGCTATAATTTGTGGACGAAACAATCAGGCATAAGATAATAGATTTATGATTTAACGAGAAAGCATTTCATCCATTTGGCTAAATAAATTTATGGCATTATAGCTGATGTCAGTTCGTGATGAGAACCCCATGTATAATTCCTAACTAAGGCATATTACGACAGTTATTGCGAACTGGATAATAAAAGCACCAGTAACACTGGCTGCAGCCAGGTACTACAATATATACGGATGTTTGGAGAGCGTACAGACTCCTACATATGCTTGGTTACGTGCATCGTGTCGTTATCCACAAGTGGCATTTTGTGCACTCAACAACCGGAATGCACATAAACAATATTGAAGCTATGTGGTCGGGGCTGAAAGAGTTTTCGAGACTTTATCATGCCTCGAGAGGCCGACTATTCTGTAACTATATATGGATGAATTTCTTTACTACATACATTACAATTTTAGAGCCTCTGAACCTCTTTTAACTTTGACAAGTTTTTGAACCACGTTTAAAAAGTGTATCCACTTTACTTCCTTGGTTTTGCATAACATTTTTACTCTGTACTGACTGTTTGTTGATTGGCTAATATTTCTCAAGGTCGCTTAAGATTCGTTCAAAGGTCGTCCATAAATTAGAGTCTCGCCACTGTTTTAAAATTACATTAATCTTTACCAAACATACTTAGGAACAATATAATCTCGTTCGCCAGCAAGCGACTGTAAGACTGGCAGATTATGATAGTTTTAATTCAGTACAATACTCCTGGATTTGAGCTAGACTTTTTCATCTCAACCAACCTTTTGTTTAATTACTACCATTTTTGTTGCTACCATGATTGTGTCTACTTCACTACTGTTTTTTCAATAATTAACAGTTTCTTCGTTTTATTTACTCCATTCTCAGTCATTTTCACTAATCGTCTATACTCAGTTTTATCGTTATCTCCCTTATTAATTCAGGTGTTTACTGACATGGAGAGCCAATCAGAAGCAAGCTAATGAGGTCAGTAAATAGCAGCCAGAAGTGACCTAATAGACGAGTGAATTTCGTTAGCTAAAGAATGTGTCAATTTCCCAAGGATTAGAGTGGTATATGTATGGATGAGTATTTATGTATTTTGTTCGGTAGACCAATACACCTTCTCGCTCAATTAGTCAGATTGGGAGTCAGCGCGTAGCATACAGCATATCACTGTCAGATTTTAAACACCTCCCGCCACAACATTTATAAACTGAACTTTTATGAAGATGCTATAGTAATATTACGATTTTTCCTAATTAATGAAGTAATTGATTTTACTGACCTATAAAATTACAACTATATAGCAGTTTTTCAGCTTACACGAGTCCCTGCGTATGTTAAAATTGCAAAGCACATGAAAAAGACTTCGCTTCATCGCATGACGTTTGTTGTACTTAGTTTAAAAAGCCAACTAAGAGAATTTCACGGTAATGATACTCCTTAAAACAAATAATTTAATATATTTTCTGCATTAATCTTAACCTAGGTTGATTTGTTGAAACTAAGTGGCTGAGAAGTTCAGTTTAGCATGGATGTCTCTCCTCACTATCACTAAAATGAAACAGTCCAGTTATTCGATCGATGATCAATCTAGTTTTGCACTCATTCACTTCCGTGTACGATCAAGGAAATAATTCCTCCGATCAATCCCTTCTTCAACACAATATATTAGTTCTCCTAAGCATAACGTTTAACACAACTTGGGGTCAGTATCGCTTTTTCCTGTTGTATTAAATCAATTTTATTAGTGGGCTTCATTATTGGTTTACATACATCTGGATTCTACACCACTTCATGTCCAATCACACATCCAAACTCATTCGATCGAAACTTATATGCCTTCGTCCTACACCTTATCCAATTTTCAGTGAGAAACACCAAGCCACTGATCTTGTTTTTTCTAAGTTAATGGCGTGACAACTAACATTTACAATTTATAGCTCTTTTAAGGGACTGCCCGCGATAAGTAAATGGGTGCTTCAACATATTATCATTTGGCCTTAGTGTCACTAAATACCCTTATATGACCTTCCTTAACACTGTTTACTGACGTGTATCACTCTCATTTCTAGTTTACAGGGATAATTTTACTACCCAATTTCCATATCCTCCTGAATTTCATAATGTGTTACCTTGATTGTACCGTTTTATTGACAATAAGTTTGTTTTATTTAACATTACATACTAGCAGTTAACGCAGTGGCTTGTAGATCTTTGATTGTTTTTGTCTGAAATGATTGATTAAATTGACCCCCTTGTCACAGAAGTTCATTTCTCATGTTTGGAAGCATTCATTGTTGTTGACCGTTTCGGTCATTCACTTTAAAGTGCATTAAAGTGTTCTATCTTTCGGGATAGAACTGCGTTTTCTACTTGGTAGGAACACTTTTATTTTCGGTATGATTGCATAGGGGTTTAAGCATATAAATTACTAAGCTATTCATCATCACACACTTTGTCACCTAACTGCTGTGTTTTCGTTAATTCTTCGGTGAGTGTTTAGCGAATTAGAATATTGGGTTGTATAGAACATAAACCTGGAACTCAAGAGTTTCAGAACTTTACATTCTGGGCTATCGAAGGGAAGCTCCTGAAATCTTAATTCTACTCTTGTTTCTGTTGTCTTCAGTGGTGTTTTTGAACTTCGAATAATTTATATGGACTAGTTTCAAATTCCGATTCGGAGGACCCGTTGGGAAAACTAGCCATAATATTGGAGTAGACGTGTAGTGACTCACGTTTATTACGAGAACACGACTGATTTAATAAAAACAATTATTATTATAAACAGTTGTACCAGTGTTTGTTTTAAAGTGCTTTTGTTTGACTGTGCTAATGACAGCTATATTGGGCTTCCATTCTTGTTCTTACACTTCGATTGTAATTTCGCGCGAATTCGGTTACCTTCTGTAACCAAGCTTGTATCCTGGCACGATCTCGGTATCCTTTCGATACCACGAGATCGCCAGTGAATAAATCCGAACTTGGTCCATTTTCTGCCTTCTGATATTTGGCTTCTCGGGGTTTTTATGGAGTCAATTGGAACGAGCTTTTTGGTAGCGGTGTACATAGTCAATCACAACTCGACGCCACGCTACAATTGGTGAGCCCAAAGTTTGGAACACGCCTTAACCTCTGGTAAAATCTTCCAAAGAAGCCAATTTGGTGAGTCTGTTATTTATCTATCCACGTCTGTCGTATATTTTCATATTATCTTTTAATATATAATATACTCGACATGACGGATAACGATAAGAATAGTATTAATATAATGGACTTCCACGTATGTGTACCGAATCCTTATCACTTTTTATTCGCGTGACGGTAAATCCCACGCTTTATTCGAGAAATTTTACCCTATTAATGATTCTCCTCGCTGACCCGGCTGCTTGGTACGGAATGCATACGCATAAGCACATCCGTCTACCACCCAGCACCAAATGGTTAAGTTGAACGGTTTCACTGCCAACTTAAAAGTGCTCTACGAGCACACGAAAACGGCAACTGGCACGAAACCTTACCGCTCGTTATTTTAGGGATCGGAACGAGCTTAAAGGCAGATATCCAATGTTCCGCCGCTGAACTTGTATACGGCACGACATTGCGTCTGCCCGGAGAATCCTTCACACCACGGAGCAGACCTGATTTCGGTAAATCAGACTACGTCCATCGACTGTCTGCATTTATGCGAACACTGTCTCCGGTGTCAACTCGAATACAACATCGACAGGTCGCTCTCCCTCGAGAGTTATCTGCCTGTTCACATGTTTTCTTACGAGTAGATTCGGTACGCAAACCTTGGCAACAACCTTACGAAGGCTCTTTTCACGTGATCGCTCGTCACGAAAAGACCTTCAAGGTTGATTGATATGGACGCGTCGAGATCATCAGCATTGATCGTCTCAAATCAGCACACGTCGATGACAGTGCCCTATCTGATACCCTGAGATTCAATGCCAGACCTATCAAACCTACTAGCGGGATCCTCAAACCATCTTCAGGTCCCACGCTAGATACACCTGAGACCTCATCCTCACGTCCCAGTCAACAGCACGCGTCATCTGCACCGTCTACGGACGAGACAACAGTCTCACGTCCAGATCAGCAGACCACGCCACCTTGGACTTCGGATGAGATTGCAGGCTCACGCGACGCGAACGAGACTACTGTCTCACGTTCCGGTCGCCGAGTACGGTTGCCCGTACGCTTTCGCGACTAGCCGCACAGTCAACCGACTATTCCTATACTACACGCATGCTACACTTCTCTTTTTTGATTTTCTTTTTGTTTCCTGAGCCCACACCTTCGACCATCTCAGTTTGGTTCCGTCGACTTCAGTCAACTTTGGCGAAAGCTGGACTGGCCACCCACGCTCTTGTCAACGCACTCGGTCGATATATTGGTTTGAATATTTGGCACACGCTTGGTCTCGAACCTGGTCCTTGCGGTCGCCTCTGGTCTTTCGGCTCAACGTGGTTTCGTCCTACGTCTGCAGCGTTTCTGGTCCGCATTTCCTACGAACGCAATCTTCAGATTATGGATACAAACCACTCGTGTAGCATGCCAACTCAAGCAACAAGTACAGCACATCGCTCCGGGTACCGTTCTCCGAAAACAACCTTCGTTGGCAACTCCACGATCAACAATCGCTTTCCTGTTCGCCAATCCGTTCGTCCTACAAACGATCAGTCCCACGATTTAAACCGTTATTAATCGAAAGTGTAAACCCTTTCTAGCGGGGGGCTCCTGTAGTGACTCACGTTTATTACGAGAACACGACTGATTTAATAAAAACAATTATTATTATAAACAGTTGTACCAGTGTTTGTTTTAAAGTGCTTTTGTTTGACTGTGCTAATGACAGCTATATTGGGCTTCCATTCTTGTTCTTACACTTCGATTGTAATTTCGCGCGAATTCGGTTACCTTCTGTAACCAAGCTTGTATCCTGGCACGATCTCGGTATCCTTTCGATACCACGAGATCGCCAGTGAATAAATCCGAACTTGGTCCATTTTCTGCCTTCTGATATTTGGCTTCTCGGGGTTTTTATGGAGTCAATTGGAACGAGCTTTTTGGTAGCGGTGTACATAGTCAATCACAACTCGACGCCACGCTACAGACGTATAAACTGGTCCATAGTGCACAGAACAAATTAGATAACCATTTTGGTTGGTCATTAAACTGGGATTTCAGTAAACTTGTATAAAATGGGATCATTTGAATACAAAGTTTAAACATTGATAAGTAAGTTGTCGATAAACATCTTACTTAGAACTGCAAAATAATTATAGTGTGAAAGCGACATATGAAGTTATGAGAATATTTATACCCAATGATGTGAGATCTTTCTTTAGTCTCCTAAGAGTTCTCTGTTTATGATGCACGTAGGAGGACGACTTAATTTCGTTAAATATCACGTCGAGCAATAATGCTAAGTAACCTTTACAAAGTAGTAGACTCTAGTACCAAAAACGAATTCGTACTTGACTGTGAACGACCAGTCTTGGCTGAGTGTGTTACGCCTTTTCATTGTATCCTGTAATTACAAGCGTTGTCATGTCGTTACTATGAAATTACTACTATGGATGCTGGAATGGACAATTTCGAGGATCTCTTGATAAGTTCAATACTGATCTGTTAACTGTGTGCAAACAAACACGAAGTATGAGCACAGTTGACTATATGAGCTGTGAACCGTTCTGCAGTTGGTGAGATTGAAATGCTTAGCGTGTTGTCAATGATTATCATTTGGACTAAGATCCTCAATCACTGTACAAAACCGTAAGAATCTTAATCAAATATAGTGCTTCTGACAACCACTTGGTCTCAAGGTAATGTAAAAAACAGGAAGCAGTCACTTCGACTTTTGTACACTGTATGTTGATGCTGCACATAAACCAGTCAGATGTGAAATTTCGTATCTAAAGTAGTGTCCCAGAAACAAGATACAGGGCGGCACTGCATTACATATGCGCTACAATAGATACTGAAATCTGCTCAACACTTGTCCTGTTGAAGGTAGGATCAGCATTCCGTAGGGGATCAAATTATATCATGTTTAGTACTTGGAGAGACAGGTGTTGAAGGTTACAGACTCTTAAAGTTACAATTCGAAATGAATAGCGTAATGTATCTACCGCCACTCTATGATTGTGGCCCAGACACAGTTACACTAGACTGGCAGACTGAAGCCATTCGGATTCTAGGCCGAAATGGAGTTGGTTCAGTCCGATCCAGAAGACAAAAGTGTTCATCTGCAAGGCTATGTATTTCTACTGTTATTGACTAATCTTCCGGAAAGAAAAATAGTATTACTTTGAGTGCATGAAATTAAGTAATGTTGTAATACCTTAAAGTAGACTCCCAAGGAAGTGAGTAACAAAGTTTAGGACAAATGATAAAGCACCATTTCTCATTGGAAGAACAACAGTTTCAGGAACTGAGCCGGTGTTATGATTTCAAGTTAGTGGAAAAAATATATTTAAATGCAGAGAATCAGTGTACTGAAATCCACGCAGTTTTAAGATTGCATGTAAATACTATTAGTCCCGTTACACTATCACTTTTATGTATAAATTATGATAGCACATGTTAGTGATATGGTCGGAAAGATACAGAATTCTTAGGTCCGACATTTAAAAAACACCATTCAGTCCCGCTGATTGATTTGGGTACATTCCTGATAAAAGCAGGAGAACGTATTTGCTAAAAAAACGTTGAATTTACACCTTGCAAACCGATAGTGAAGAAAGGGTATTATCAGTCGGGACTTGGAAGCCTGTGGAGAATAGAAAGGTTGCACTCTAATCGTTAAGAGTCTTGCGATAAGATTTAGAATGTCTAGCTACCAAGATAATTATCCATTTGCTCCATTAAATATTGTTATTATTCACCCATAAGACTATCATTGCAGTCAGCTGCCCATATCTACAGAGAGTGACAAACTTTTAAGAACATTGTTATAAGAACGACCTAAGTTTCTTATGATTTTAAATGAGTTAAATTGAATATACTTATCACATAGAAATGTTCAAAGCAGCTCCACTGCAGATTTCGCGTTGGCTGATGATGTGAATTACTTGTGGATATTTGCTACACCGGAATGGTGAATTTGTGAGTTGTGGACTGACTATCGGCCGGTTGAATATTAACTTTCACAGTATTTATTCACCCAGTAAGACCACTGAACTCAATTCTTAGCAAAGATCCTACTAGTGGAGATGGTAAAAAAATAAGGTCACATAAAAGTTCTCATCGTTCGAACTGATGCAAATATACTGTACTTTATCCATTGCTAACTGAAAATAGAATTACATTATGATGGTCCTGAACCCATAGATGATGACTAGTGGGATCATACACGTAATTCCGTAATTCGCAAAGTCTATAGAATACACCAGAGGTTTATTTATCGATGTATCGGCTATTAGACGTTAGAGGTTACCACGTGTGACAAATAAACCTGATGTACTTTGGCGTGGAACTATGGCTGGATTTGTATTAGGCTACACACTATGGGCTAAAGATTTCACGTATTGAGAGGTGCCGATACAGGATGTAGCGCAAACTTGAAGTCAACATGTAACCTATAACTTCGTAGCTAGCTAATTACTAAACCATTACTTATTTAGACCTAATGCTCTTAGACTTGAAAATAAACTGGTCATTCAAACACATCAATTACAATTCAATAATACACAGGCTTATCGAATAAAAGCTGAGATTTTGAACACTCACGTCTAGATAAGTTTCTTGGGCTTCAAATATTCCATTTGTGCTACAGCCATCATCAGTATTGGTAGTCAATTTATGAGGAAAATCAAGATAGCTTTCTGATATATCATAATAAAATTTGTTCTGTTCGTCATCTAAGATAGACAAAATTTGGGTGAAGAGACCATTGCAGATAGAAGAATCGACAATAATTTCATTAGCTGTTTCCTCTGTTTGAACAGCTATGGAAGACATGGATTAGTTGATAATATTACAACAATGTGGTGTAAATATACGTGAATGAAAGGTAGGCAAATCCTAACACGTGATTGGTCGGCAGTTACAATGTATATCATTTGAAAACAGGCAGAAGGACCTTTTCAGTGAACCACAAGAAAGCACTCATGAGAATGTAATCAATAAATTACTCGTAGAAGTACATTTCATTTGTTCGAACCATAACTTTCATCAAGGCAGATCAAACGTTTTCCATATGATAATATCCACAGTTTTAATTTCAGAAACATATAAAAGTGGATAAAAAAGGCAAATAAAAAAAGTTTATTTGTTTTGTTATTTTAACATCCGCTTGCAGTACATCGTCTCTGGCGCCATTTTGGCCCGTTTGTCTAAAGGTAGGTTCCCTTCGTGTACTGTTGTTATGTTTGTCTAGATATATTAGCATGATGCGCCCGTTTATTGATTCTAAGGCTGATCAGGATAAAAAGTTGTTCATCGGTGGTTTAAGTCCTAAAACCGATGAGAACTCGCTCAAAAATTATTACGGTCAATGGGGTGAAATCATTGATGTTGTCGTTATGAAAGATCCTAGATCTCAGAAATCCCGAGGGTTTGGTTTTGTGACATATAAGGATTCCTCGTCCGTTGATGCTGCACAAAACAATCGCCCACATACTATAGATGGAAAGGAGGTGGATACCAAGCGTGCCATGCCCAGAGAAGAAACAAGTCCTGAGGTTCATGCTGCAGTAAAGAAAATATTTGTTGGTGCTTTGAAGAAGGATGTGACAAATGAAGATCTTAGTGATTACTTTTCTCAGTTTGGGACCGTAACTGATGCACAGATTGTTATAGCTAAAGATACGAATACATCCCGGGGCTTCGCATTCGTTACTTTTGATGACACAGATGCAGTTGATAAAGTTATTTTAGCTCGACCACATACGATCAAAGACTCGAAAGCAGATGTACGAAAAGCACTCAGTCGAGAAGAAATGAATAAAATGAGGTCAAAACCTGCACCTGTGAGAGCAGATTATAACGGTGGTGGCTGGCACGACAATGCAAACGGAGGTTTCCAGCCTCAGTCATGGGATCAGGGCTATAATCAACCTTACGCACACCAACAGCCTTATGCTTATAACGGAGCAGGCTATGGTAAGTATCCAGATTTATCGCTAACATTACGCTCAGGTTACGGTGGTTACGATGCAGGCTGCACTGCAGGTGGTTGGCCTAATGCTTCCGACGGATTCGGCAATTATCAGCAACAAGCCTATGGTGGTGGTCCGATGAGGGCGACACCTGCAAATGCACAGTATTCCCGTCCTGCTCCATATTCCGGCAATGGTTGGCAACGCTGAGGTTAATTTTGTTATTTCAATACCAAACGCCTAGTGCATTTTGACAACTTTTTATCACTTGCTGTAAAATATACAAATCAGTTATTCTGCTATTGCCTTGTACTCCCAGCCGCTTGATGCTAATGTTGAGAAGCTAGTTAGGTCGCTTTTGGAAAAAGATAAGGTATGGCACATTTGCGACTCGTCACATCGATTCCCAGTCGTATACTCAATATGAAGAGGAAGCTCCCGTGAGACTCCATGAAGAACTGGATTGTGTTGCAGCAAGGAGGTTACAATCAATTCAAAGGTGGTCAGCAAACAAGGTGGGTTTGAAGCTAGCGATTTTGGGTTGCACTAATTCTGTTCTTAAGCAAGAATTAGATGGCACGTACTGGTTTTCAAATTCTTAAGTGCATTTAAAGATTTGCTAAGTTAAGCATTGGAATTTTAGTCTTTAAGTATGTAGGTTGATGTTTCTGTTTGGACGTGCGATATAACCTCTGTAGTACTTATAGCTCTAAGGCCCTTGTACTGCTTTCATGTCGTCGAACCGTGTAGTAGTGTATTTTATGTGCGCGGCGTGCCGATACCTGAGAGGTAATAACTATCGTATTTTAGCCTCCTTCATCACAAACCTCCAGTTACTTCGTTTCCGTTAAGTAAACTTAGAGTATTTCTGTATCAAGTTCTAGCTGCTAATAGAATAATTGAAAGCATTTCGTGATTTAACTAATCAAATGCTTTCGTCATCCACTTGTAGACGGTGAGCTGAATTCCTTACCATCTGGCTTAACGCGAGACGAGTGCAACCAATTTTTTTACATCAATCAACGCAACTGATGAATCCGTTGGTTTTCTACACGATGTTTGTGTTTTGTTTAGGGATATTGGTGAATAAAAGTACTTTGTTTCTACCTGAAGGGTTTTGTTTCAAAGTTTTTGAACAATATAACAGATACATTTTGAGAGATAAAAAGCATTCTTTTCTCTCTTGAAATTAGTGTTGCTACTATTTAATTCAAACTAGCACTGGCAATCACAGTAAATTCATGTTTGTAGATATTGCTGGAGTATTCGCAGCTTACTTTAGTGGTCCGGATCATATTAATAAAGCGGTGACGATCATATTCGCTAAAATATTGTAGCTCTCCAAGTACTGTTTTGAATATTAAGGACTGCGCATGATTGCTCCACTAGTTAAGGTGATGTTCAGAACGCTTTTTGAATGGAACCGAGTGAACCTCTGCTCATGTAATATTACGTAGTTTATAGAGCGGTCCACTCTGCATGCGTTTACTCCAAACCAATGTGCATTAGTCGAGGACTCATTACTACCATGATTGTAATGTCATCATGGTAATCGTGTTGTCATAGGCCGACGCTAGTTAAGGTTTTCAAATAAGTACTGACTGGTAGCTCATAAAGCGTTTAAGTGTTCGAGCTCGTTCAAAGCCATACTTTCAGTCCCTATGTATGAGGAGTCTCGATGATTTGACAACTGCAACCAAATGAAATTCACTCTATATCAAATCAGATATAAATATTAGGTGCCTCACCTATTGGGAAGTTTTTAGAAGGACAAAACGAAATGTGACGTGGATATAGGGTGTTCTGAGACCCACACAGTCATTCGATGTTTAATTGAGATGATAAGAAACTAATATGATGGTAAATCTACTTAAAACTATTAGGTTCATAAAAAACCACCTTGGGTTCGAAAGAACTAGTGGAGTTAACATCGCTTTATTCTTGCCCCAATATGATCGGCTTCGTCTGTCTAAAAAACTTAATTGTGAGCGAATGTCGATCGATTTTGTTACTATAAAAGCTTTCCTACTTGAATTTCATTTGTATTTTGAATGGAACCGGTATCTTTCGGGGTGTACTGGTTTCTGTCAAATCGATCCTCAATGATATACTAATTTTGGGTGCAGTATTGTATTTAGGCATATTCAGTCAGGCTCCCTTGTTTACTGAGTGCTAATTAACCTTACAAGACAAATAACCTCAGGTGCTAATCACTATATTTTTTGTCCAATGATAAACCAGTCAGCTCAGTTGTGTTTGTTTCTACAGATTGGTTTTATTAAGCGAATTTTATGAAGTCTTCCGTATAGGTTATGCGTTACTGAGTTGTTTATAATTATTAGATTTTGTGTTCTAGCTTGATATAGGGCTTCCCGTATTAGAAATCATAACCAGTTTAGTGTCTGGCACAAATAATAACCGGCTCAGATTCACAATTTAGCGAGCATCAGTGCACAAAGTGAAAGAGTAACAACGATGACATTTATAAACTGAACATAGGAAATTTAATTTAAAAGTGACAAAATCGCACTGGGAGTAATATGGGATAACACGGTTTTGATTTTCAGGAGAGAAAAGTGAATAACTACGTGAGACCTTTCAGTTGAGAACCCTGGGGGACCTTACTGTAGCCTACCATTATCTCGCGAACCACAAATACGGAGTCTGGATTACGCGGCTCAGCTGAACGTCCGGTGGTGAACTGATCTTAAGTGTTGGTGTGCCCCAGCCGCTAAGTTCCCACATAAAAGATAGTCTTCAAAAATTGTATTGATTCCATTTATGTATATTTATTGCTAATAGGTAGTTCGGATTAATTTCTTTATGTTCTGGATCGATGACTACAACTGATACGCAGAAGTTACCAGTACTGGTAAACTTTCCATGTTTGTTCGTGTACTTTGGAGAGCGCTACATTATAGTTTTCAACTCTACCCTTGATGTTTAGCATTCTTTCATAAAAATAACGTAAAGATTAGGTGATATTTACAGCAATAGCTTGTTTGGTTAAGTGATAGTTAAAGTATTCTTAGCACCGTTTATAGATGAGATATTTCCAATTCATGCGCTCATCATATCACCTGTTCATTACCAAAATGAAAGAATCTGAATATACTATTGACTAAACATATTTAACATGTCAAACATAATCTAGAAATGAATGGGAACAATTTGAACAGTTTTTGAATATTGGTTTCTTATACCAGGTTAAATTGATAAAATTGTGGTCACGTGGCAATATGTAGTTTAATCTAAACAAATTGTAAGAGTGGATGTATAAAGTAGTAATCAAGAATTTCGTTAATAGGACGATTTGCGCCAAAATGTATATTGCTTTGAAGATAAGCCATCAATTTTTCGATCACATTTGCATGGTAATAACAATGAATAAAAGCTATGGGAACGGTATCAAACTCATCTGTTATGTCCCTATCATAAGGTTATAATCGATTTAGAAGAAATAATTTCAACTGTTACTCGTTCTTGTGTGCCCATCATACTTACCGATATTTATGACTTGTTTCTCTTGCATAACGAAACCATGTCGACTTCAGTCATGGCATCGTGAGTTGGTGTATTAAGTAAAGATCATTTAGAAAATAATTGGGCAGATCGTGCTATTAATTACATATACAAAAGTACCACGTTGTATCTTCAAGGCTTGGCGAACTCTTGGTTGCAAAAGCACTCTGGTGTTGTCACTGCTCCGTCAGTTCGTAACTCGTACTAAGTACTCATGCGACCGATTATGTATCGCCGGTCATGGACAAACTACTCATATAAAAGAACGTTTAGTTCAGAATAGTTACAAGTTCTGATTTCGAGCTGGTGAAAGATATGGGTGGTAGGAATCTTACGATT